TTTATAATATTATAATTTGTAAATAAAATATATGTAATGTAGGTTATATTTTGTTGCTTTGCAACATACAAGAAATAATAGATAAGTCTTGATTGATTCCTGGATTAAAATGAAGGCATTCGAAAATGCAAACAGGAAGATGGAAATGACTTTGTGCATCAAAATATTTCTTTACTTAAAAATGAACATATTTTAAATGTGGGTCAAGATAGACCAAATTTATGTGGCCCACATATGAGTTTTTAACATCTGGGCCAAATACTACATTTGATATGTGGCCCATGTCTTGCATGCCGCTTAAAGACGATGCCACCTCAATCATAACTAGGCCATGTTTGGCCCACATGCTGTATGCCAGAGACAGCTAAATGCCTGCTGTGCCAGCTTTATGCCAAATCTGAGCCAGAATTATTTGCTACCTAAGTATTTTAACAATCTAGGCACAAAGACTAAAGCGCATGACACAAAAAAATCATTCAAGGCGTGACCGAATCCACTTTTGCTATTTTACGAACAGAAAAATAGGGTTTGCGCTCTGGCACATGGTCTAACAATGTTGTGCTTATTCTCTTAATGAGTTATGGGTGAGTTTTGAGAAAAACGTGCATTAAACCAATCAGAGTCTCGTCTCCCATTCAGTTGCCTCATGCTATGATGCATTTTCTATTTACATTGCGAACTTTCTAAGTAAAAAAACTGAATGCACATGAATAATGATATTATACAAATGCAAATTGTCATGAATAAACTGAAAAAAGACCCCGAAATGAAGAAGGCATGCGGTATTGGTTTTTATATTTAAGTAGAAAATAATAATTTGTGTAACATTTTAATCCTTTAAATTTTATTTTCTTATTTAAAGATATTCGTGTATTTCTGTACATCCTGTGTGTATTAAGCAATGTGTAGGCATTTGGGCCAGCATGAAGGTATAACTAATGCACTCTGTGCTGGACTTTAGTTAGTCAATGACGCAGTCTATTTCAGCTCCTCAAAATAGCAAAGCGCCAACAGTGCAACTTAACACACCTCGTTTATAACAATAATAATGATATAATTAATAATTATTAATAATAAAAATAATAATTCCTTAGATTTATATAGTGCTTTTCTCTCTAGATTTATATAGTGCTTTTACACTCAAAGCACTTTACACATTGGGGGGAATCTCCTCATCCACCACCAGTGTGCAGCATTCACCTGGATGACATGACAGCAGCCATATTGTGCCAGACTGCGCACTAAATGCCAGCTGATTGGTGGAGAGGAGACAGAGTGATGAAGCCAGTTATGATATGGGGACGGTTAGGAGGCCATGATGAACAGAAGTCAGCGGGCAAATTTGTCCAGGACTCCGGGGTTAAACCCCAACTGTTTTTCGAAGGACATCCTGGGATATTTAATGACCACAGAGAATCAGGACCCCCTGCTTGTCTCACTAACACCACTTCCGCCAGCAACAAAGCTTTCCTATGTGGTCTCCCATCTAAGCACTGACCGGGCGCAACCCTGCTTGGCTTCAGCGAGCGACCATGTGAGAGTTGAAGAGAGCTAGTTAGACCGGCACACTCATAAGTACACAAAGTGGCGCAAATGGATTTGCTATAAAAACAACGTGAAACAAAACATAACGCGTTGCGCTGGTCTGAAAATAGCATCAAATGCACCATGCACATCTTGTGCCTTATTGCGCCGGGTGTATGATAGGACTCAAGGACACAAACACACTTCACTCTACATGCACTACCCATGCTTTTCACTTTGTTATATAAAGCACCCTCCCAGAATATCTTGAATCAAAGCTTATATCTGTGAACATACAGTGTTGGTCATTAAATGTCGAACTGATTAGTAGTGGAAAACAACATCTGTGCATCTTCAGAAGAAGATATGGAGCTCTTACACATGAGGCTCCTCTTGTAACCAAATCATTTGGCTTTGTCACATTTACACTTTGTGCTGATGAGTTTATACATCTGTGTGAATTTAACAGGAGAGCGATAGCACTGAAAAGCAAGAATTCCCATCGCTCATGTGACACAAAGATCACTGTTCCCACACGTGTTGTTGAGAGCTTTTACAACTCCTCTGAGATGCACAAAACCACTTTGGTGACAAGATGGATCAGACAAAAAGGTTTTATAACCATGCATATCTGAAGACCTTTCTCCATAACTATCAACAGACCACCCGTGAACTTCAGTCAGAAGTATGCAGTTTTATGTAAAACAGGCATACTGCAAGAGACAATTAATGTTAGATAACTTAGAACTTGCAAGCCATTTTAGAGATAAAGATTAATGAAAAATTAATCCACCCATTAAAATAAAAAAGTATGAAAGAATAATAGAAAACAAAAAAGAAAATAAATAGTGTATAGATCGGGTGCAAACTTAAGAGGTGAAAATGGTGACAGATCTGCACGATTTATGTGAAAAAAATAATATTGCAATATTTTGTAATTTTGCGATATATATTGCAATATGAATACAATTTCAACAGATCATTTGAATATCCCTATTTGTAAAGAAGTTACATTTTTAGATTGATTGGGATGATTCTGTAGTGGGAATGCATCAGCATAAAATCAAGGATAAAGAACAAGTCTCCTCCATTTGACCTCTACATTTTCTTTTCACTTTTACTCTTTACTCTTTCACTTTCGTGAATAAGAAAATGGTGTTGTACACACTCCACTGAAGACATCCATTATGCTACATATTTAATTTTGTTTGTTAAGCGTAAAGCTTTGTTTCCAAACTGTTTTTAAATTTAGTTCTAATTTGCAGCAAACAAAAAAATGAACAATAAAAACGAAGTGTGACCCCAAAACATGCCAGGTGTATATATAATAAACAATTATAATATAATTATAATAAACAATACCAATACCAATAATAATAACAATAATAATAACAATAATATTATTATAAAAAAGCAAATTGTCATGAATAAACTGACAAAAGCCCCCTGAAATGAAAATGCCAAGGAGGTAGTGGATTTTATATGCATGTTGAAAAATAAAAAAATAATTTTTGTAACATTTTAATAATTGAATTTAGTTTCATGTGGAAAAATATTTGTGTATTGCTGTACATCCTGCGTGTATTAAGCAATGTGTACGCATTTAATGTGCACAACTCACGCGTTTTGTGCTGGACTTTGAACCTGCTTTTAGCTGGTCAATTGCTCAGTCTATTTTAGTTCCTCAAAATAGCAACAAACGTGCTAACAATGCGCCTCCACACCTCCATTCTAGACTAGAACCCAGATGAGTCCAGAAAAACTGATTTGCTATTTAAACAACATGGTGCAAAATGTGAAAATTAGGGTTGTGCTGGTCTGTAAATAGCAACACATCACGCCAAACACATCTTGCGCCTTAATGCACTGGGTGTATGATAAGACCCTTAATGTTTTCCCAGTCTAACAGTATTCAGGCACAGTAATTGAATATTTAAAAAAAAAATAATAATAATTATTAAAGTTTATAAATAGTACAATTTCTTATCCCTGAATACTTTTAAAATCATTATACAGTCACAGGCCTCAAATAACAAATGCAAATTATAAGTTATAATACAAACTCAACATTTAATATCCTGTGATGTGATTATTGAGAATGATCACACTGCAATATCGATGCTGAAACTACATATTATACAGCCCTAATGTGAATCACAGATTTCGAAGTAAAAACTGCAAATTTCTCCAAAAAATGACCAGTTTGCACCTTTGTATAGATATAATAAATAAAAGCGCAATAAAAAACTATATTACCCATACATTTTGGTGAAAAATGTTTGTCATGTTTGGATGAAACTTTTTAAAAACATTTTTTATTAAAAACTAACAACTGAATTTGCTTAAAGTTAAATAAGTTAAGGTAAATTCTGGTTCTTGTTGTCTTCAAACAGGATTTTGGTAATTATTTAAAAACATACAGTTCAGATTTAATTTTAAGTATAGAGTTAATTTAGTGTGATGATACAGGCAGCAACTAGCCTCTGATACTTTGTTGTGCTTAGAAGATGTTTAGCTCAGGAGGCCTTAAAACCACAAAACCCATCACTAAAACCATGTGGAATGTTCTACAGGGAACAAATGTCTAAGAAAAATAAACACCAAAGCAACTGTAAACATTCCATACACACTAAAAACAGCGTTCAGCATTGCAAACAGGATACAATGCACGTTTAAACTTGATCGTTGATGTTTTCTCATCACAATAGAAAATAAAGGTAAAACTTCTTCCATCACAAAATGTTTGTAGACTTTGAGTTGTGCAAATGTCACACTACACAACAACACATTTTAATCATGCATGTCTGTGGTTAGTCAATGCTAAAAATATGGAAGGAAATGAGGGAGGATGAGAATAATCTACATTCAAACTGCTTACTCAAACCTGATTCAAGAGGATTCAGCTCTCAACTAGAAAAAGCTGTAAACCTTTACCAAACTATTTTAGCCTGTCATTTGCAGTAGGGAAATCCTTTAAAGTGTGATTTCCTCTGTCTTGCCAGGGGCAGAGGGAGATTAGATTTTCCCTGCAACTTGGTTTAAGCACTCCGAAGCTGAGAGGCAGAGACTTTAACAAATGTGTCTGTTTCTGCTTTGCCACCCGTTGCGATTGCTTTGAGTTTCCAAAGTCTGCGTTTATCATTCACAGATTTTGCATAGCTGGTTTGTGTAAACATCTTAACTGTTTTTTAAATGTCATGCCAATCACAAAGATTTGGACAAACATTGTTATTTCATGAGATGAATCATTCTGGTGATATATTTCTTTATGTCTTTGCGGTAAGAGACTGTCTAAAATTCTAAGGCTAAGAAGTCTGAACCCCTGCTGTTTAGAGTTCCTTTTAGGAAATTTAATCTCCGCATGGATAAAACCCTAAAATCATCACAATTTATTGCTGACAACCAACAAACAAAATATTTACTCTCCCCTGCTACTTTCAATTCTAGCACAATTCTAGGACATTTCAAACACTTACCACTGCTCCACCATTTTTTTCCATTAATGATAAAATCGTCTTTGTCCCTGTGCATGGTGCACTCCATGTTTGTGGCATCACTTGAAGCAACATCTGGCTCTAGGATGAAGAAAAATAAAAGGCGCGATGATGAAAATGATCTAAAGACAAAAAACAAAAATGACACAAAAAAATATATATCAATGAGAAAAACTGTAAATACTCAAGAAAATGTGTCCTTGTAAATTATTAGCCAAAATGGCATGTTTGGTTTGTTGCCCGGCTACAAAAACTGGTATTAAATGAAAGAAATTAAGCGACCCCTATCTTTAAACTCTTTTGATATTTTGTGCACAAATTAAAAGTGTTTTTTCTTAATATGATTTGATGGTTGGTTTTAATAGTTTGAATAATTTAATCATTTTAATAACGATTTTTTCATGTAATGGACCCCTAGACGCACATTTACAACTGGTTTTATGAATTAAGACATTTAGGCCGCATTTACACTGCACTGTTCAAGTGACTCAATTCAGATTTTTTTCTCCCATGCGGCACAGATTGGATATGGCCCATATAAGCAGAAACAAATCACATGGATCCAGATCTTGTTCATATATGGAAATGTATCCGATTTGAATCAGATCTGTGTTCTCGTGTCTGCAGTGTAAGCAGGTAGTTCAGATTTTCACCTGTCAATGCGAGCCGCGCGTCAATAAAAAAATGTAGCAAATGACGTCAAACCTTAAATCTCATACACGAGGACTTAAACAGCTTTTATATTGTCACATGGCATAGGTATTTAAGCATGTTAACGAGAGCGAGAGAGCGCAATGTCCACCACATACCCAATATAAACTAATGCAAAACTAGTGCATACATCAAGTGCATAAATCGCGCCATGGACATTACCTTAAGATGCCTAAAAATTTTAAAAAGCCTACTGTATATACTACAAGAAGATGGACAAATGAGAACCTTTCTGTCATAAAATGGGTTTAAAACGATTAAAAATTGCTTTTTTTCTAGCCGAAATAAAACAAATAAGACTTTTTCCAGAAGAAAAAATGTTATAGGAAATACTGTAAAAAATTCCTGAATCTGTTAAACATCATTTGGGACCACATATAATGTTTCCACATAGTATATACAGCTCTGGAGCCTAATTCTTAAGTATAAATTGAGCGTGAGACAGTTTCAATAAATGTTTTTTATTGTTAAATATCAAACATTTTGCAACTAAGATTAAATGTTTTTTCTATTTTAAATAAAAGAACCCCTTGAACAGTGTAAATAAATACAACAAATAAGATATTAAAGACCAAAAATACACTTTAATTACAGCTGTAACATTGGGTATATCCTGATTCTATTGTTGCTTTCTAAATGACACTGAGAAGAAACTTTATACTGTACATACAAGTTTTGTTTGTTAAATGACAAACAGCAAGAACATGAACTTTTGCATTTTAAAAAAATGTAATAGACTAGTTTTTAAAGGACCTAAAAATACAGCTAATTAAAAAAAAATAACAATAAATGCTATATTTTCATGTTATTTAAAAATTATTACATTATACAACACTAATCAAACAATAAAAATAATGATGATAATACAAAAAAACAAATTTTATGCTACTTGATATAACATTGAAGTTAAGACCCGAGTTGTCATGTTGTTGTTTAGGGGTAAGGAAAACCAACATACTCACTTTATGCAGTTTCAGTGAAAAATGCATAAGGGTAACAGTTCATGGCAGCATTAAAAAACCCTGTCTGATGGTGTGCTCATTTTCGTCAGTTGGTGAAATTTTGTTCCTCGGCACTGTCAACACTGGCTTGCTTGGTTTGGGACTTGTAGACCTGCGCATCGATGGATTTGCTCTTCAGAGTTTAGGCCCTCAGCAGTGAAAATTAAACTGAACTAAACTGAACTTCAACTCTGAAAATTGGATTGAAGCAGTTTCAATTTACCAGAACTTCTATTTTAAGCTGCTTTGACACAATCTACATTATAAAAGTGCTACAGAAATAAAGATTAACTGAATTCAATAATAACAAGAGTACTACAGCCACACCAACTACAATTAACTACTACTACTATTTACTATTGTGAAAACATTGAGAAATTCTAGAGAAATCTCAATGTGTATACAAGTAATGCAGGAAACTTGAGCTGAATGGCGCTGAATGAAAAACTGGCATGCTGTGATGTCCATTAAAATCACATATGGCTCAGCTTATCTTTAGAGAAAAAAACTGAACTGAAACATCTTCTGCAGTAGTGATGCCTCTTAGGGCCAGAGCTTATGTCAGTAAATCAATAACATTGTGGAAATGTGTGCTGGGTTCAGAGGAGCCCCTATTTCAGGTTGTTTCTGGGGAAAAACAGACTATCCAGAATGAGTTCTCAGACTATTCATACTTTTATGTGAGGCGGACGCAAAAGTAAATGTCTGTCATGATTCAGGGTACAAAGCAAAGGGCACAAATCATTTGCCGCGTTTCCACTATCATGGCAAAAGCAAGTGTGCCAGGGCGAGCAAGTGGGCTTCCAGGGCCTGACCAGGCCAAATCAGGACTTGTGGCTGGCCTTTTTAGGCCCCGCCAAATACCTTGGGCAAAAGAGGGCCAGCTGGGGCTTCGGTAAGAGCGAAAGGAGAGGCGGAGTTTGCCTGAGTCTAGTAAAGATGGTGTGCCACCATTACACTAGTTGTCCAATCGCACACATACATGCGCCAAAAAATAAATAAATAGGGGAAAGAAAAACATATAGCTGGTCAGATTAAGATAGAGTATTCGATAAACAACTTATAGGCAAGAGGTCTTTTTTTGCTTAAGATCACGCTAATGTTTCCCTTTAAAATGTAAAGGTGTTGCATAAAATAATAACGTAGTTTTAATTTAATAAGTGATATTTCTTTGCTGCGTCCTCCTTGATATTTCAATAACGCATAATAATCTTTACACCACAGTAAAGACACAGCAGTAAAGTTTAAATGGTGTGTGTGTTCATGAAATGTGTGATAATCCGGGCAAAAGAGCACTTGCTTCACAGCTCTGTCGATGCCACGAGTGGCTTTTTTTCCTTTCTTTATTTTGAGGATAATACAAAACATGAGTGCAACAAAAAGACATAAAACTTTACAAAGTATGTGTCCACTTTTGGGTCAACACAATTGTGGCGTATTGGATCTAGATAAAATAGCCTAAGCTATATTGAAACTATTTAAAGAATTACAAATACGAGATATAATAAAATCGCATTAAATAAATAAATCAATACAAAACAAACAAAAGATATAATAATTTGGGTATATACAATACAAATAAATTAAACCTATTTAAGCAATTTTAAACTTTTATTTTACAAAAGCCCATCTGGAAAAAAAAAGATTTGAGATATTTTCTAAAAACAATAAACTATGGTGGAGTTTTGAAATATTATTCATAAAGTATTTGGATTGTAGCCATCAACCTTTTATAAAGTTGCAGTCAGAATTTTCGCCGCCTTCACATTTTTTTCCCTTTCTTAAATATTTCCCAAATTATGTTTAACAGAGCAAAGACATTTTCACAGTATGTCTGATAATATTTTTTTCTTCTGAAGAAAGTCTTATTTTTTTATTTGGGCTAAAATAAAAGCAGTTTTTATTTTTTTAATAAACATTTTAAGGTCAAAATTATTAGCCCCTTCAAGCTAGATTTTTTTCGATAGTCTACAGAACAAACCATTGTTATACAATAACTTGCCAAACCCTAACCTGCATAGTAAACCTAATTAACCTAGTTAAGCCTTTAAATGTCAATTTAAGCTGTATAGAAGTGTCTTAAAAATGTATATGTAGTAACATATTCTGTACTGTCATCATGGCAAAAATCAAATAAATCAGTTATTAAAACTATTAAGTTTAGAAATGTGTTGAAAAAAAATCCTCTCTCTGTTAAACAGAAAATTGGGGGAAAAAATAAACGGGGAATAATAATTCAGGGGGCTAATATTTCTGACTACAACTGTAAATATCCAGAATAAAATTTTAAAATTTTTTGCTCACTGAAAAAACTGATAATCTTGTTTTAAAGAAGAAAAGTTTTTTTTAATAACTTACAAATAACATATCCTTGATTTTATTGCATATTAGAAAGAATGTATTTAAAATTTTACAATTATTTTGTAAAAAAAAAATTACAAGATTTCCCCCCCAAAAATACTGTGTAGACCCCATTTAAAAAAAAATAACATATGTATCTGTTTCTCAGTGAATGTAAATAACATTAAAGGATTTATTAAACCGTTATAATCATTAAAAGAAGAGTTTGATCACCTATCCTCAAATATTAGATTAGAACAGATTTAAATTCAAATTAAATATTGTAAAAAAGGTACAACTAAATTCCAGATATTTTTCGTTTCTCTAGATTTTTCCACTCTTATAAATGTGTATTTAAATGTGTTAATAAATGACCCTAACATATAAATGTTGGTCTCGTTTTGGATATGTTTTGTTAGATTAGTTTTGTTTTTAGACTAGATTTGTTTTTAGAACTCATGTATAATGTATATGGCACAAATCTAATATTGTATTGAATCACTCAGTGTACTCAGTTATGCTGAGCACTATATATATATATATATATATATATATATATATATATATATATATAGTGTATTTCTAGATGTAATATGTTGTCACCTGTCATACAGAAACAGGACCGTATGTCTCCTCTAAGTAAGGGCTCCAGCCACATTCTCTTCTGTTCCTCAGTCCCAAACAGGTGCAGCACTTCCATATTCCCAGTATCTGTTTGAAAAGTACCATATCAATTGTACCATCCGCCACTTACAATTTTTAACTGTTCCAAAGACTGCACAAAAAAATCTTTAAAAATGTATTCATACTTTATTCAGCAAGAATGCATTAAATTGGTAAAAACAGAAATATTTATAATATTACAAAACAATCTAGAGTTCTGCAATCACAAATAAAAATATTAAGTAATAATATTAGCATGTTAAGCAATAAACAAAACATATTAAGGTGTGCTTTAACACAGTTTTAACAATATTAAAAATAGTAAACTAAATTGTATTATTTTACAACATTAATGTTTTATTGTGTTACTGAACAAATAAACATGGCCTTCAGGAGTATAGAAGAGCACGAAATGTACAAAAAATGTAAACAAACAGAAAGAGATATATATTAATACCACAAAATAAGACATTTATCAGATTAAACTGATTAATTTAGTATTGTTGTATGACCTTTTACCACTTTTATTATTTATTAAAGTGTACAATAATAACAACAATAAAAACTAAATATAAATAATGAAAAAAATAACCATATAATAACAATAACCATAATTAAGACTAGCTCAGTGTGTTTTGTGGTGGCACTAAGGATAGATTAATCCTGGATAAATAAGACCTGTAAGAAAAAATAAATATGATAAAGGCATCCGTCGGAAATGCTCCAGTGCTCAGGTTTCCCACACGAGTCCAGAGACATGTGGTATAGGTAAATTGGGTAAGCTAAATTATCCGTAGCTTTTGTGTAATAATGCGTGTGTATGGATGTTTCACAGTGATGGGTTGTAGCTGTAAGGGCTTCCACTGTGTAAAACATATGCTGAATAAGTTGGTGGTTCATTCTATTGTGATGACCCCAGATTAATAAAGGGACAAAGCCGAAAGAGAATGAATGAAAATAAATATATATATTTAATCAATGTAAACTAAATAGCCATACATGGTTCCATGCCTGATAAAGGTTAAGTAATACATCAGGCAACTCCAAATATCCCCTTAAAAACAACAATTGTTATGTAAAAATAACATAAAGTGAATAAAGACTATTTTATGTTATGCGTATAAAAACATTTTACAAAAACACATTTTACTACATTAGGTCAGCTACAAGGCAGGCAAGATTATGTATTGTAAAATTGATGAATATAAAATATAATTATCATTAATAAATATATACTTCGAAGTATGTTATGTATCTTATTTAGCTTAAAGCCATCATAAAAAAGCTTAATAAAAAAAAACAGTAAAATTCCTGAGACTTGCAGAGGCGCACACCCACCTGGGGCCTGGCAGTTAAAAACCTCAGGGGCATAATAGCAGTGTCCAGTCTCCTCTGCAATATAAGCATAATCCAGCTGAGAGAGACCACTCACTTCAGGAAGAAACAAATTCCACAGGCCTACAGCTCGAGCCTTTGCCTGAAAACATACAAAGTCTTTTAATTACTCTCTTTTAATCAGATCTATTATCCTTTATAGCTACACTGTTGATCAAAAGTTAGGGTCTGTGTCAATTTGTTTAAAAACTAGTAGTTAAAAAATATATAAATAAAATCTGTTTTTTAAATGTGTTTTATTCACACAGCAGATCCTTCTTATTCTCAAATCTGGCTAAAATATATGCAATATTCTATTATTATCAGCACCTATCCAGCTTCTTCACTTGTGTATCAGTCTACAACGAGTGCCTAGAAGTGGACTAAACTTACTATAGTTTGACAAATTCTCTGGCTGTTGGACCACATGATGTACTTTGAAACCTTTTTAGACAAAAGTGTAGTTCTTTACATTACAATATTTAGTTTATTTAGAAGGATAGTACCTATTTTAAAAAATGTGTTTTGATGATTTTGGAGATGGGACTTCCAGTGGAAAATAACTGTGGTGGACGACCAAAGAATTCTTTCCCTGGTGAAGAAAACACCCTTCACAACAGCTGGCCAAATCAAGAACACTCTCCAGGAGGTAGGTGTATGAGTGTCAAAGTCAGCAATCAAGAGAAAACTTCACCAGAGAGAATACACAGGGTTCACCACAAGAGATAAACCATTGGTGAGCCTCAAAAACAGGAAGGCCAGATAAGAGTTTAAAAAAATGCCTTCACAGAGCTGGAACAACATCATATGGACAGATGAGATCAAGATCAACCCATAATACCATTTCCTCTAGAAATCACTTCATTGGTAATGGCTACATTTTTCAAAATAAGCATTCCAAACAAACTGTTTTTAAGGTCATAATTGGAGAAAAACAGCTAATAAAACAAGGCCTCACCAGAGTCTAACACTAAACATTTTAGGTGATGTATAGGATAACCTGAAAAAAAAAAAAAAATCTGCTGTTTTTTTTTCTCCAAACACGATTTCACTGAATAAGCTTGTTTGCCATTTTTCACTGAAGGCTGCAAACACTCATGCTTCAATCTGTCTCTGACCTATATATACTTAAAGCCAAAATTATTAGCCAGTCAATTATTTCCAATAACAAATTATGTTTAACACAGCAAATAATTTTAACAATATTTCCTATAATATTTTTATGTGGAATAAATCTTATTTGTTTTATTTCGACTGGAATAAAAGCTGTTTTAGGTTTAAGGAAAAACATTTTAAGGTCAATATTATTAGCTCCCTTAAGCAATAATTTTATTCTATCGATACAAAACAAACCACTGATATACAATGAATTGTGTAATTATCCTAACTTGATATTTGTATTTATATTTGTACACTTGTATTTTTCAAGTAAAATATAATGGCATACATGTACTGTCATCATGTCAAAGATAAAAGATTTCAGTTACTGGAAAATAGCTATTAAAACAATTATGTTTAGAAATGTGTTAAAAAAAAATTCTGTTGAACATAAATTGGAAAAAAAAATACAAGGGCCTTATAATTTATGTAGGGCAAACAATTCCGACTTCGACTATATATTGTAAAGGTAAATGTATCATCACCTTCAACTTCTCTATCACAGGGGGTGTACACCATCTCTCAGCTGTGTCCTTGTGTGTGGCATAATACTCCTTTACTTCCTATTAAAAACAACAAGATTAAAGCAAAAAAATATACATTTCTTAATTGTGGAAACAGATTAATAATAATCATAATTTTAACTATTACAGTTCATATTTTAATTCAAATTTGTGATTTTATGATTTTTTTATTATAATTTAAATTATATTTTTATATAACTATTATTTTTTTATAACTTTATTAATCCAAAAACCTCATCAACTTATAATTCTCATTTATCTTCTTGTACTCATGTGGTATTATGTAAAGAGTTTCCACAGACGGCATTTAGTGCTGACCTGTTCGGCAGGAAGTACATGCTTTCTCATGAACCTTTTGACATGCTGAAGAACGGCCTGTCCTTTGGAGGACTGCATAAACAGCTGATCAGAGATTGGTAGGGCCAGCGTGGGGCTGAAAACAAAAATAATTTTTTTTTTTTTTAAATATCCTTTTTTATAATCACAATTTAAATTTTAAACCACAAATCCTGACAATACAAGTACAACCAGTAATTACTCTCTTAAATACTGAATTACATAGTCTGCTCCTAAAGAAACTAAATTAAAGGATAAGCCAATGACAATTAAAATAAATTTAATTATTTCTGAACTTTGGAAACTTGAAAGCAACCATCAAAGGATTCATTCGTTTTCAGAATACAGATCAAGATATTTTAGATGAAGTCAGAGAACTCCCTCATCCTCCATAGCCATAACCATAGGCAGCAATTAAAGACATGTCTCCTGAGACATTCAAGGCCCAAAAATTATTGTCAAAACATTCTAGGTGGCTTCCGTGGTTCCACTGTAATCATGCAAGTAACAAAAAAACATTTTTGTGATGCAAAAAAAAAAAAAAAACAAAGCCACTGCATAAATAATGTTTTTATCCTTTATTAGGTCAGCAGTGCAATGAACTAGCATCACAATGCCTGTAGGGAATGCATGCCCTGCTACAGTATGATGTGAAAAAACATAAGATATATCCAGCTTAGGACCCACAGATATACATCAAACAATGGATCAGTCTCCTTTTTTTCTGTTTAATGACAACTAACTCCTAACATTATCGCCATCAATGTCAATTTAAGAATAAGCTATTCCAAGAAATTTGATATGATTTATATGTACAATATTCATTTACAATACATGAAATGCAACATTTTTTATTAATATTGATTTAGATCAATATAATGAAGCAAAACATTTTTGACTGTAGGTTATGATTAGATACAGTGCATCTCAAAAGTATTCATAGCGCTTCACTTTCCCACATTCTTTTATGTTACAGCCTTATTCCAAAATTGATTCAATTCATTTATTTCCTCAAAATTCGACACACAAAACCCCAAAGTGACAATGTGAAAAAAGATTTTTTGAAATTGTTGCACATTTATTAAAAATAAAAAACCTGAAAAAATCACACGTACATAAGCTCTAAATTGAGCTCAGGTACATTCTGTTTTCACTGATCATTCTTGAGATCTTTCAGCAGCTTAATTGGAGTTGGCCTGTGGTAAATTCAGTTGATTGGACATGGTTTGAAAAGGCATACACCTGTGTATATAAGGTCCCAGGGTTGACAGTCCATGTCAAAGCACAAACCAAGCATGAAGACAAAGGAGTTGTCTGTAGACCTCAGAGACAGGATTGTTTTGAGGCATAAGGCTAAGGAAGGTTACAGAAAAATTTCTGCTGCTCTGAAAGTTCCAATGAGCACAGTGGCCTCCATTATCGATAAGTGGAAGATGTTTGGAACCACCAGGACTCTTCCTAGAGATGGCTGGCAATCTAAGCTGAGTGATTGGGGGAGAAGGGCCTTAGTTAGGGAATTGATCAATAACCCGATGGTTACTCTGTCTGAGCTCCAGCGTTCTTTAGTTAAGAGAGCAGAACCTTACAAAAGAACAACCATTTGTGCAGCAATCCACCAATCAGGCCTGTATGGTAGAGTGGCCAGACAGAAGCCACTCCCCGCCTGGAGTTTGTCAAAAGGCATCTACGGGACCCTCAGACCATAAGAAACAAAATTCTCTGGTCTGATGAGACTAAAACTGAACTCTTTAGAGTGAATGCCAGGCGTTACAATTGGAGAAAACCGGGCACCGCTCATCACCCGGCTAATACCATCCCTACAGTGAAGCATGGTGGTGGCAGCATCATGCTATGGGGATGTTTTTCAGCAGCAGGAACTGGAAGACTAGTCAGGATACAGGGAAAGATGAATGCAGCAATGTACAGAGACATCCTGAATGAAAACCTGCTTCAGACTGCTCTTGACCTCAGACTGGGGTGACGGTTCATCTACCAGCAGGACAATGACCCAAAGCACAACACCAAATTATCAATAGAGTGGCATCACAACAACTAAGTGAATGTCCTTGAGTGGCCCAGCCAGAGCCCAGACCTAAATCTTATTGAACATCTCTGAAGAGATCTGAAAATGGCTATACACTGTTGCTTCCCATCCAACCTGATATAGCTTGAGAGGTACTGCAAAGAGGAATAGGCAAAAATTCCCAGACAGGTGTGCAAGGTTTGTGCCATCATATTCAAAAAGACTTGAGGTTGCAATTGCTGCCAAAGGTGCATCAACAAAATATTGAGCACATAATTGTGTACATGTGATTTTTTTTTGTTTTTTAATTTTTAATACATTTGCAACAATAAAAAAAAAAAAATCTTTTTTTTACATTGTCATTATAGGGTATTGTTTGTCGAATTTTGAGGAAATAAATTAATTTAATCCATTTTAGAAATAAGGCTGTGACATAAAAATGTGGAAAAAGTGAAGCGCCATGAATACTTTCCGGATGCACTGTATTTAGATTATGTTTGTTTAACTTCTTGTGTTTTTATTTAGGCCTACACCTACCAAAACCCTGGGTTAAGGGTATATTTTTGTACTTTTTTTGTACGCCTTCACAAAAATGATTCTGTATTTATACGCACATTCTCAGTAACCGCAGATATAACACTCCTAGCCATAATCAACCTACGATGAAAGTCCCTCCCACTTGGAAGCCTAAATGTGGCAAATATTGCTTGTGGGTCTGGATATTATTAGAACATAGGCAAAAAAGTTTTTACAGTTTACAGTTACACAAGTTTTATTGAGGCTCTATATGATTAAAGTTTAAACACTGATGTTACACTAAACATTTTGACAATGTTTTTGTTTTTATAGACTTTCAAGATCTGTTATTTTCCAGACAGAATGACAGAGGTCTCAGATTTTATCTAATAGATCTTAATTCGTTTTCCGAATATATTACTCTAAAGTTTATGTAGTGTTGAGACTGTGGGGTTCTACCTGAGGGCGATCTGTAAACCCAGCTCAGCTAATGGCTCCACACTCTCTCCAAACTCAGCTGCATCAACAGAACTGGCATTGCCCAATAGATGCCTTGCATAAATTCCCTAAAATGGTGAAAGAAATAGAATACTTACAGGATAATCCATATTCTGATTAATTCTGGAATTCACTGATCATGTAATTTTCTGGAAGGTATATGGTTTTAACCACCATGGCTTGTACCTGGCAGCAATTGGCTGCACATACTTAAACTTAATACCTGTGCAATTGCAGCCATTTTGAAAATGGCCATGGCAACAAAAAAGTTTTGTTGAGGAAGAGATTTTGGGATCCCTCGACAAGAGCAGTAAATAGAGCAGAGGTCATCTGGTGAAGGAATTCCTGTTAAAAACAAAAGAAAGATTATTACATGAAATATAGAGAGTTGTTAAAATGAAAAAGAAAAAATCTATAAGATAAGATTTATTATGAGATGAAAAAGTAAATAAAAAAAACAATTATAAAGACATAAAAAACAAGCAACTTTCTTCCTTTGTGAATGGCTGCTTTGTGAAGTTGTTGCCCTCCTTTGGTCTTTTCAGTTAATACCTATGTGGGAGTGCATGAACCAAACCATAAGCACCATACTATGATATATATATATATATATATATATATATATATATATATATATATATATATATATATATATATATATATATATATATATATATATATATATGATATAATTTGGATAATTTGGATGTAAATACCCTAAAATAAGATATATATATATATATATATATACATATATATATACATATATATATATATACATCCAAATTAGATGAACGGTGTAGGAATTACAACATTTTGCATATGTGCCTCCCACTTGTTAAGGGACCAAAAGTAACTGAACAATTGGCTTCTAAGCTGTTCCATGGCCACGTGTGTGTTATTCCCTCATTATCATAATTACAATGAGCAGATAACAGGTCCAGTTAATTCCAAGTGTGCTATTTGATTTTGGAAACTGTTAATGTCAACTCTCCATAGACCTGCCACTTTCAGTTAAGCAAGCCGTTATTAGACATGAACATCAGGCATGGTCAAAACAACTGTTTGGAACATTCTTAATAGGAAAGAACGCACCAGTAAGCTCAGCAATACCAAGACCTGGAAAACCACGAAAACAACTGTGGTGGATGACCAAAGAATTGTTTTCCTTGGTAAAGAAAAAATCCTTCACAACAGTTGGCCAGATCAAGAACACTCTCCAGGAGGTAGGTGTATGTGTATCAGAGTCGACAATAAAGAGAAGACTACGCCAGAGTGAATACAGAGGGTTCACCACAAGATGTTAATAATCGATGAGCCTCTAAAGCAAAAAGGCCAGTTTAGAATCCTAAAAAGGCCATGATCAACTTGTACCAGAGTGATAGGAAGAGAAGATTAAGGAGAAGGAAAGGAACTGCTTATGATCCTAAGCAGTAAAGCATGGTGATAGTAGTGACATGGCGTGGGCATGATTGATAATGTGACTGCTGACAAAAGCAGAAGGATGAATTCTGAAGTGTTTCAGGCAATTTTTGTCTGCTTTATTTTCTGCTTATATTAAGCCAAATGCTTCAGAATGCATTGGACGACGTGAAGCGTGCAGATAGAGAATGACCCAAAGCAAAAACAACCAAAGAGTTTTTGAAGGGAAAGAAGTGGAATGTTATGCAATGGCCAAGTCAATCACCTGACCTGAATCTGATTGAGCATGCATTTCTCTTGCTAAAGACAAAACTGAAGAAAAAATGCCCCAAAAACAAGCAAGAACTGAAGACAGTTATATATCAATATAAATAAAAATTGTATTTATAAGAATTTTTTATTCATCAATATTTATCAAGAGCAGCTTTTGGTCTCTTAAAAAGTGATAATTTCTGGAAGCTGATTCCACCACCAAATGGCATAGTACCTGAAAGCAGATTCACTATGCTTTGAGTGAACTCTTGGAATTTCTAACTTGCTTGATCATAATGATCTGAGTGATCTACAAGTTTTGTATTCAGTGAGCATCTGCATTGTATTGAATTGAGGTCCTAGGCCATTTAGTGATTTACAGACAAGTAATAATGCTTATATTTATATATTCCAGATCGGTGAGGAGTCCATTACAGTAATCCACCCTGTAGGTGATAAAAGCATGAAACGAGCTTATTTAAGCCTCATTGGAAACAAAGCATCTAGTTCTTGCAATGTTTTTGACATGATAGTATGATGATTTAGTTACTGCTTTGACATGACTACTAAAACTAAAATCTGACTCTAAAAATCACACCAGAATCTTGACCTTATTTTTTGTGAATTGACCCCTAGAGCCAAGACAGGCATTCACTTTGAAAACCTCATTTCTATTTCCAAATGCAATGACTCTGACATAGCTTCAGCATAGTGTCATCAGCATAGCTGTGGTAAGGAATATGGTTTTGGGTGATCAAGAAAAAAAAAACAGTAAAATCCTTAACAACCGTGAATGAAATGTGTAAAACCTTAGTTAAAAGTGAATCTACAAGTATGGTCAAGATTGTATGGGGGTCCCTGTCCCTTTTACTGCATTGATTTTAGGATCATCAATGCAAATATTAAAACACCCAGCAATGGTAAAATAGTCAAATTTAGAGGTTGATAACAGTTCTGTAAAATCAGCAATAAAAGCTGGACAATTTTTGGAGGTCTGTAGATAATGATCAGTAAAATGCTTGGAGCACCACGTGCTGTACTCAGATATTCCATGGCCAAATAGCCACTAACTGGCACTTGTTTACACTCAAAGATATATTTAAATAGAGCAGCAATTCCTCCACCTCTCCTTTATGCACTCCAGACACTCATGAAATCATAGTTTTGAGGAGCTGCCTAATTTAGGACTGCCATTAAGCCAGCAAAATTCAGGCATATTGTTTTATAAAATCCTTGACATTGAGTGACTTATTGTTGAGTGATCGGATGTTTAACCCCCTAGGGTCAGCAAATACATGCATTTTAGAACATCTGTATGTAATGACCATAAAAAGAGATCTATAATTAATTATAATTTAAAAAATACTTATTTTTTTGTCACATCGATAAGAGAACACAGATTTCTTTACTTGTATATTCATAATTACAACAAACAATATATTTTTGTAAGATTGTTAAAACAAATATGGGGCCCTATCCAACGCAATCTCCAGGCAATTCGTAACTTTTTGATTTAGTGGCTAATTCGTATAAATTCGTATGATCTAATTCTTACAATTTAGTAAGATTTTGATTATCACCCAATGACAGTTGGGGTTAGGGGTGGGCTTGGGTCCGACGCCTCCTTTTTAAAATCGTACATTTACGTATGACTGAACTCGTACAAATTTGTACGAATTAACCAGTAAACTGACAAAACAGAAAATACTTACGTTTTCTCGTTAGAGCAAGCTGGCTCTATTATACACCCGTCGCAAGAAGGCGCAAGACCTGTTGCCCTTACGTGCTGCTATTTTCAGACCAATGCAACCTTAATTTTCCTGTTTTGCGCTACGTTGTTTTAATAGCAAATGCATTTGCACCACTTTGTGAACTCATGGGTGTTAAGGCGCATTGCTGGCACGTTGCTATTTTGAGGTACTTAAATAGACTACGCAATAGACCAACTGAAAGCAGATCTAAAGTTCAGCGCAGAGCGCGTCAGTTGTGTGCCTCGCTTACACATTGCTTAAAACATGCAGGATGTACAGCAATACGCACATATCTTTACAAATAAAAAAAATAAAGAATTAAAATATTTTAAAAACATATTATTTTCCACATAAATATAAAAACCACTGCCTTTAGGCCTTCATGTCGGAGGGCTTTTTTTCAGTTTATTCATGATAATATGCTTTTGTATAATGCAATTATTATTATTAGTATTATTCATGATATTCATATTTATATTTGTTTTATTAAAAACAAGCTTAGATTTGTCCACCTGTCAGGTTTTGAAACATATGGGGCATAACATGTGTTTGGCTATAACTTAGGTGTTTGACCACACTTCGATATTTTTGTTCAGTTATTCCTTTGCTGGAAATTAGAACTGAATTTAGAAATAATTTTCAAACAAATCTTTGCGCTCAACAAACTAAAATAATTATGTAGGCTAATGGATGTCTGTGCGTACAACACGTTTCCCTATGCACAAAAGAGAAAAAGTGAAAGTAAAGGCAGATTTGAGGAGGCTCAGGGCTCTATTTTGACGGTCCATGCGCAGAGCGCAAAACGCAAGGCGCAAACGCTTTCAGGGTGTAATAATCTCGAAAGCTCGAAATAATCTAACTCCTGTTTATCTAACCAACATTCTGTCTCACTACAATCAATAACACTATCTAAGATCTCAAAACCCAGTATTTCTAGTAGTACCCAGAATAGCAAAGTGCACTAAAGGAGGTAGAGACTTCTCATTTATGGCTCCTAAACTCTGGAATAACCTTCCTAATAATGGCCGAGGCTTAGACAAACTCTCTCAGTTCTAGATTAAGATTCTTAGTAACTAGATTAAAGATCTATCTTTTCAGTATGGCATACACACTATGCATCACAAAAAGGCATAAATACATATTTGTTGGCAAACTGACAATCCTCTGCCCATCTGCCCAACTGGCAATCCTCTGCCAAGAACTAGAATTTACTTGGATGCTGCACCACCCACCGCCATAAGCAGGTCAACCACCAACCTTTTTGTTGTGCGATTGCGTTGTGCACTTCGGGGTCACTGTAGCTGCACCTAACAATAACTCTCCATTAAGAATTCAAACTGCAACATGTTCAATTATAAGAGACAACAAAATAAAACTTTCTTCAATATCAATTTCCCCATTATTATATTAGATGTGTAAATAAATGTCTATGATTTTGCATAAAATTACTTTATCCTGCTGGAATGTGTTGCCTTCTCCAAATCATATTAAATTCCTCCAGGTGTCTGTTAGATCTCAACACTAAAGCTAAGCGATAAATATAAATTGAATAATTTGAAATGAAAGCTGTGTTGGGAATGTGATAAAAATATATAAATATTAGGGGTGTGACAAGATCAGGAGATATGTTGTGTCTTGTGAGATCTGACAGATCTCAGGATCATCTCATGGTTGGTGCCGATAGCCTCACGGGCAGTGCTCCAACATACAGTGTGTGTAAAAATTCTACACACCCCTGTTAAAAATGCCAGGTTTCTGTAATGTAACAAATGAGATCAATAAAAATCATTTCAGAACTTTTTCCACATTTAAATGTTTTTATTCAGTTGTTTAAAAAAACCCAAACAAAAACAAGCTCAAATCTTTTAGGGAGGAGAAAAATATGACACTTGCATGAGTGTTGCATAAGTGTGCACACCC